TTTGTATGTTTTACCTAATCGTGGCCGCTAGTTGTACGACTGTTGACGACGATCGTTTTACGCATGACTCGTATGTACGATACCGATGCACTACTGTAAATGGACGGGGGTGGAGCGCAGGAGGACTTCTGTAACAATTGTTCGTGCGCGCGTCAACGCCACATATTTTTTTACTTAATTTTAACATTAAATCTAAAATAAACAAAATTAATTAAGACGAAAAGTATTTCTTTTGTTAATTATTATTATGATGAAAATGGACATTTTACTGTGTATTGATTTCTTTTAATAATAATAATGATATATCAAAACTTGGTAATTGACATATCTTATTTTGTACCAGACTGTCAAAAAAATAGAATATTTTATGAAACAAAAAAAAAGAAATCAAAATTTTTGAAGAAATAAATATACAATGCGGGCCGCGCCTTTGAGACCACTGGTTTAATATGTTCGCGGGGCCGGCTCGTGGTGCGGTAGGGTTTGTGGGAAACAATCTTTTATTATTTTTTACGTTGGCGGGTCGCGGGAAAACATCGCTCTCCGTTACTACACATGCTACCGACGGAAAATCCGTTATTGAACACGTGCGTCGTGAGAAAAAATGGCACACGTCTTTATCGGAGCCAACGAGCGTCTCCCTCTTCCTGTTCACCACATCCATTCGCCCGTCGTAAAACGTTCGAATTTTCATATTTTTCTTGTTTTTACTTTTTCATCGCTTAGCGTCATCCATAGTAAGTCAGATCGCACAGCTCACGTCAGATGATGGCATGCGTCTCGGTAAGCCGTTTCGGGAAACGAGGAGGAGGAAATTTCTACTTAAGCCATGACACTTTTTTTTTAGTTTTCGGCTAAATCCTCGAGGTTTTAAATTAAAAACGTTTTTATCGTCATATTAAGACGACGAGAATATTAAAATAAACAGCTACAATAAATGTAACAACACTACCATAACGTTAAATTTGACTTAACGTGCGTGAAAAGTCGTGAGAATTCACCCTGATCTTTTTCGGAGTCGAGAAGCTATTGGTATTATATGCAGTCGACTACAATATTGGAGTTTTTTTTTTTACGCGAAACATATTGTTTCAGACAGTTACCGTAAAAAATGTGGTTTCACTATTCATGAAACAATTTATTTTATTTTTTTATGTGTAAGTCTTGTAAGTGTTTAAAAAAAAAAAAAAAAAAAAAACAATTTAATGTATATATTTTTATTTTATTTGAGATCTCGACGTCCACGAAATTCAAAATATTTGAATTGAGTCCTTTATACTGTATTACCACTAAACCGGAATATGAGTTACTTTATTTTTTTAAAAAAAATAGTCTATTTTTTTAAACAATTATTTGATTTAATATTTTATATCAAAAATTGGTAATGATTTATACTAGTTTATAATTTTAATTTATAGTTGAATACTTAAACTTGTCAACTATTGAAGTATTTGACATGTTTCTTCACTTTTAGTTCTTTGGACCTAAAATATCCCAGAACAAAAGAGATGTTGTTCTAAACAATCGTGGTGAATAGACAATAATAATATTATGTAGCCGGTCTGGCGAGAGTCCAAGGTGGCACTTTGATTAAACGGTAATGTCATGAAAACATTTTTTTCGTTTTAGCAATAATTTTCTTTCGTCGAATAGTAAATAAATGCACATAGTTATGTGAAACTTAAGTAGTAAACATAAGTGTAAAATAATTAATGAAGAAAATATTTTATGTCTTTTACTAAATATCATTATATTGCTTTCAGAATTACCAACTTAGCGTATATTTAATTTGATATGATTAGTTCATCTATCAAGTTTTGCGCCATACTAAAAATTGTTTGAATATTGCCCGAGATCATAAACGGACTTCATAACTTATCACTAGATACCGTTGACGATTTTCGTAAATTAAGCTTTAAACTATCAGTTAAGATGTTGTTTATGATGTTTTTCTCTGAGAATATTATCGAGATACTTCAAACGGTTGTACGGTTAATGTTTTTATTTGTTATTAATTTATCAACGGTACTCTATAGATATATATGTCGAACATTTGGTATGTACGTATTGATGTTGGAACACGTGACGTGCATGAAGTGAGCAAAAAGTTGCTTGCGTTGTGGACGCTAACATCGAATGAATATGTTTGTTATGTTGTGCCGATTTTTTATTTATTTATTTTTTCAAATGGACAGTGAAAGCGTGGTTTTTGCAGCTGTTTATTGATCCAAATGAATCGTATGGTCCGACAGAAAGTAATACGTTTTATTCGGGATTTATTACTATAACAAAATCTTTTGACGAATGTCTACGGATATTGGTCTGCTTTCAGTTCATGTTTGTATGGATATTTAATGGCAGACGGACAAATTCGTACACGAGGAGCTTTCGGAGTGGAACTTTTTCCAGGCGGTCAATTTCGCCAGTACGATAAATTTACTGTCAAACGGTAAAAGTGCCGATTGTTTGAAACAAAAAGATGAAAAGTGAAACGAAGGAAAAATGAAAGAATACGAAAAATTAAATTGAACCAATATTGCGTTAGCACAGTGGAAATCGTTCAAAAGCCAATATGATAAACGATATGATTTATAGTAATCACCCGAAGTTTCTAGTGCGTCTGGATGCGGATAATAAATATTTTTCGAAATAATTACCAACGTATATACATTGTAACCGGAAAATTCTATAGTCTCGCACGGAGCGACTGCGAAAAGAAAATGCCAGCGAATCTCGGCTGCGGCGTTTAAATTTCACGCAGTAGACTCATTACTCATTTTAGGTTCATTAAACGAACCCGCCACCACTGTCGCCGTCGGAGAGAACCGTACGGGATCGAGTATGCGCGTGCGTTGGTGTGCCGAGTGCATGTTTCGTCGTCGTTGTAAACCCTTTCATTCATGGTCATGCCATTAAATATTTTACCAGTCAACCGAGTAATGGATTCCTCGCACCCTACGCCTACGCCTCTCGTGCCTAGAAAAATGCATAGTCTACTCTATATGTTGCAGCTAGGTACTGTTAACAAGTGACCAACGACCAAAGTTTATTTTTTCAGGTTTAAAGGGTTATCTATAGTTTTAATTGTATGTATAATTTTATAGGTCGAAGGCAACCAATAAATAATGATTTTTACAACAATACAATTATTGGTTGAATAAATATTGAATAAGTATCACAACGGTACAATTATATTCAAACACTCTGTGAATAGAACATATGTATATATATATCCCAACGAAATCATATCACTGAATCGAACTCAAATCTTTCAATGTAGTGTACATTGAATAGAGTAGTGTACAGAACAAGTTTTAGAAACTTAATGTTCCTTACAATTTAGCATAAAGTTTCAATAATATCAATAATATTAATCTGAAAAATCTACGGATCAAATTTAATTTAATTAAATTTTTTAATTTTGTTTCAATTAATATTAACCTTTATTATTATGATAGTAGATATAAATAAAGATACATAATAATTTATATGGTTAAAAGTGACGTGGCGCGTTATTCCTTCACGGCTGTACAACACGGATGCGTTCCACAACAAAAATACAAAATCGCAAATGAAAAGATAAGTCGCGGATTGCGCGTCCACTAACAAAACCCGTACCGTCACATATTTTCCACTAAAAATATTTGCATCTATGGCACATCCACGTCATTATAGTGAGGTCACATCAAAAGGTCGAAAAAAATTAAAATGAAAATAAAAAATTGATAAAAATACTAGCGCAGTAAGAAGTCTGCCTGGAATGCGTGCATTTCAAGAACAATATATTTTACATATGTCGCACGTTAAACCGTGATTGTTACGAACAACTGTTAAATAACAGTTTTAGTACGTATATAAATTTATATTTGTAGACGTAAAATTTTTGTTCCATAAGACGTTCATCGTATTACGTATGTTATACGAATACGATAAACAGAAAAAAAATTTATTTTACGTAAAAAACAACGTAGTACAATAATAGTTTAGGTCCGACCGAAGTAGCTCACCAGTCGGTCCTTACCAATAAAACAACTAAAGTCACTCTGTTCCGTTGTTCCGAAACCGTGAGCTGTGCACAACGCGCGACGCAAAAAATAAATAAAACGTTTGCCGCGTAATTCGAGAGTGCGTTACGGCCAATGCCGTATTTCCCAATAAACGCTATAAGCTAGTGCTTAGGGCGATAAATAATTTTTAATACTATATTTTCATAATGTACGTAACTATGACTAAAAAAAAAAAAAAAACGCAACTAATTGTATAATGTTTTATTCGATTAAAGCCGATGGGCAATAGGCATTTGCTGTTTAGTTTTGAACACGATTTAAAAATGTACTGTTTAAGCATATTTTACTGCCATGTTTTACATCAAATTTTTACAATCAATTTTTTCATACGAGTGTACGTATGCATTTTCGTAACAGATGTATATTTCTATTATACGAATTTTAAGTAATAAAGGGAACAACTATAACTGTACGCTTTAATAACATATTTTCAGACTGTAGGCGGCAATTCGTTTAGTGCTCGAAGCGGCGCAACGGTTAAACCCGGCACTGCGTAACGCAAACGTTTTGCGGTCACGAACGGACTTGCGAACCGGTTCGCGGTGCGCGCGACGGTAAGATCAAACCGACCATTCGGGGAAACGCGCGGAATCGGAAACCTCGGGGCCGAGGGATCCCTAACCGTTTCCGTACGTCGGACGCGCGACCCCCGAAATCTGACGACGTCGCGTACGCGTTCGAACGGATCCGCGATCGGCCGCGGACCACGTGAAACTTTCCGAGCGCGCCGCGAAGGAAAACGGTCCGGACGAGTGTCCTCGGTCGTCCGCGACGGTGCGCGCGCGTCCCTAGGGTCCGCGTACCGGAGAGCGCGCGCGTCGTCCGTGTCCCTCGCACCGCGCGGTCGCGCGCCGACGGCGAGTGGTGGGTAGGCCGTGTCGCGCGCGGGCGGTCCCTTCGACGGCAACGAGCGCCGCGCTCGAACACGTTCGGCGCGCCCGCGACACCGCCGCTGTCGTTCACGGTCCGCCGGCGCGAACGGAACTGTTCGCCGACAACCCGGGCCCGCCCGATCGCGTTCTCGGACGTCGCGAGTGTTCCCATCGTGTTTTGTCCGCCGCCGTCGTCGTCAGCCCCGGGCCCGGTATCGAAACAATAGCGAAGTTCGTCGCGATCCGGTCGCCGGTGCCGTTTGTCGGGATAATAGTATCGATAACCGCGATCCGCGAACAAATCAATCCGTCGTGTGTCACCGGATCAGCGAGAACGACGAGCGACCGAGCACTCACGTGGAGGTAGGTGGTGTACCGCGGCGCGCCCTTGTCGTCGGTCGAATACGAAAATCGTACCCGGTACCGTCCCTAAACGGCCTTCGCGCGCGCCTCCACCGGTTTCGCGTACGTACGATACGTGTATACGTGTCGTGCGAACAACAAAAATTTCCGAACGCATCGACACTTGGAATTGAAGTGTGTTCGTTTGCAATGTAAAAAAAAAAAATAAATAACCTTTTTACAACAAACCGAATAACGTAGCGAACGATAAAATTGTTTTGGATGGGTTCCGATGATATTAAAAAATTATAAAAAAAAAAACGTACGGAATTACTACGATCCATGGTGTACAGGGTCCATTAAAAGGGGATAGAGGATGGAGAACTGACTATCGGGGTACGTGAGGATCTAAATACTGATATTTAAATACAGTATCTAGATACTGCGCGGTTTCAGTGCGATTTGTGGTGGCGAACGCGTTCGGCAGCTGGGCGGTGACAATTCCACTTTTCCATTTCCGTTTCGATTCGAAAAAAAACCCTAAAACGTTCGTAGTGCGAACCCGCGTCGTCCTGCTCTTCGCTCCCTCCTCCTCCAGACGAGATGTCGGTTTAACGGTTCGACGCGTACGTATAATCTTGTCACGTCGCCAAAGCTCTTATGGTTTACGTACGAGAAATAAAAGTCGAGACCGGCTGAAGACAGTCATAAACGTATCGTACGACGTTATAAATTTAGTATATTTCATATTAAATATTATATAGGTATTCATGCACGCGAGCGAGCGCAAGACCGTTATGTTATTATTACCGTGGCTTTCCTTAAACCAATACCAAGAGCTTTTTATTTTACGACAAAGTATACGTGTATTATTATATATTTATAATTATAGTTCAGCAGCTCTCTATTCAGTAAACCTAGCTGCTATACCGTGGTTAACGGTTAATACGGGGCTTTTTGTCCGAGAAATAGAGAGAGAGAGAGTGAGAGAGAGAGATAATGAACCGCGCGGTTTATCAGGCAAATACAACTACAAGACAATAATAACAACCTTTTTTAGATAAAACATTGACTAAATTTATTACATTTTATTTTTTAGTTTTTCCTACTCACCTTAGACGCGTTTACGACGATTATGTTTTTTCTGGAAACGCTCGAGTTTTATTTCCGTTATAATATTATACAATATCACATCGGATCGGCAGAGCTTAACGGTAATAATAACAATATCTTATTAATAACAAAACGTTTTATTCTGTAGCGGAGGGAAAATGACACTTTTATAACTTATATTACGTTTTGTTGTATATAAATTATCGTAGGAACGGTTGATCATTCATTTTCCATTTCCTGTAAATAATACATTAAAACAATAATACTATGTAACCGCTATGACGTTCAGAACAGATGAGAAAGTTATGGCATTAGAATCTGAGATTATCATTTTAGATTTTGAGTGAAGCGAAGGATCTTATGGTTTTACAATGATAATTATTTTTTTCTGTTAACGATTTTTACTTTTACTCTATATTGAATATTATAACTAATTGACATTAGTTAATGGTATTAAATAAATTCAAAAAATTGTAAATTTATTTTTCATAGATATTAATTAGATTTGTATACAATTATTCGAATATTTTTACAAATATTTTCAACTTTAAATTGTTATTAAAAGAAATTGGTCAATTCAGTCAAAATGAAAATTTGGATACAGATAGAAAAATGTGTTTTGAATATTCGGTTTAAATAAATTTCTCCTTCGTCAAACAAGAAAATTTTAAACAAGTTGATAAAAAAATCAAAAAAACCTACCAAAAACTAGACTAAAAATGGTAAAATTTATAAACGGTATATTTTTATAATGAAGCTTTGCTCGGAATTGTTTTACTAAAAAAATCAGTTATGATTTATTTTAAAACTCAACCCACCCATAACCATTATCTACTCCGAGGACCGAAGGAACGAAGGACGAACTTCCACTATGGTGGATAGTGGTTATTTTATAGCTATTTTAATCTTGTATTTATCAAAGTTTGCCGATTTCAGATATGATATCATAAATTATATTTTGTTTGCACTTTTTGGTATAACTTACGAAATACAATTATCGAAGTATTCAAATTAAATTAGAGTTTTATCAAATATCTATGTATATATTATGTCTAGACTTGTGGTATATGAATCGTTCATTATGTATCATATTTAATTCTTTTTGTATGCAATTTTTACAAAAACATGAATTTACCATAGTAATCTGTTACATCAAAAACGTAGAGTTTATTACTTAATGCAATTTTAATAACAAATTAAAAAAAAAAAAAAAAAAAAAAAAATTTATAATTTAATTTTAAAAAAAAAAAAAAAAAAAAAAAAAAAAAAAACAGATTTATAATTGTATGTTATAAAAAATGATCAGTAATTATAATGATCACGATTGAATATGCAGACAATTTTCATTTGTTATTTTTTCGATAATTGTTTGCTCTAATTTTGCTTATAGTTCAAAATTAATCCGAAAAATGATTCATCAGTGACACCACTTTTAAGAACATAGAAGATAAATTTTAAAACCATGATATTAACTCAATAATTAAAAAAACTTAAAGAAATTAAAGAAAGTATTCTCTCGATTAATACTCGTATGTATTTATACCAAGAATACAATTAAAAAAAAAAATTTTGACAAAAAAAAATTAGTTACGATTTACACAACTACACACCACTGAGCTATATATCATTAGTTAAATTATTGTTTTAATTAAATAAATGATAAATAATGCGAATAATGAGTTTGATATTGTATTTTAATAACACATGCATTTTACGATTGGCGGACATATAATAGAGTAGTATACAAATACGGCATAGATCATATTAAACATAAAAATTATATTTGTCTAATGAATCCGATGGCTATTTTGTCTATTTTAACTGGATATTTATTATTTATTATGTTTATCATAACAGCTAATTCAAACTATTTAAATGTGTTGTGCATGGCATAGGATCGATTAAACTAATAAATTGCACTTCCGTTGACGTGCCACGTGCTAGAGTATTGTAAAAAAAAAAATATGTACATTATATTACGTAAATTTATTAAATCTAGAATACTTTACTTTAAATTAACTTAAAAAAAAAAAAGAAAGAAATCGAATATACGACTCGCGTGCTGTATGTTGATTGCTATATTTACAAGCGCGATTGGAGGCTAATAAGTTACACGTAAACAAGCTATTTATGCAGCTTATTGAATGTAAACATGACGTAGGTATACCATAATGTACTGTATGTAAATACATGATCAATTTGAATCTGATCCTCTGTGATTAACTTTGAAATTACATTTCAATTACAGTCGGAATAACGTAGAGTTTATAAAATATGTTTGACAAACGTATATTAATTATGCATTCGGCTTTGATAATTTTTCCATATTGTTAATCGCCGTTGAAGTTGTCTTCCACTCAACGATTGGTCACACATGAATATCAATGTTAACTGCAGTTTGGTATTTTAGATGTTTATAAGGATTATAAGAGCTAAAATGTACACGGTTTGTTCTTTTATTAATTTATTAATTTTCCGAATTTTTACAAAAACTACTAATCATTTCAGCAGTTTTGATTTATTCTCTGAGTTGTTTAAAGCATAAATATATTTGCTGAGATCTACTACTATACCAATGGCATTTTTGAACCAATTAAACAGCTGTTTTGAACTTTAAAGTGTGTTCTACCATTCTGAGATATTTTCTCAGATAACTTCTTGCATTGTGTTATACATTTCACTTGAATAACATGACACATGTCATAACAATTGATATTGACAAATGGGTATATAATTATATATATATACGAATAAAATGATACATAAGCAATTAATGGTTTTTATTTAATATAAGCTATTGTAAGTGATATTCATATAATTATAATAACAATATTTAAATGTTCTGATGCACTAAAATTAATTATGCTGAAAATGTATACGAACAAATATAATATCATTATGTTCCTCCTATAAATAAGTTTGTTTTGCCGTTTGTGCTATAGTAATATTATATCGGACGTATACCATTTATGTTATTTTTAAAATTCATTGTTAAAAATATTCTTAAAGAATGGTTTAAAACCCATTCTATAGTACCGTTTTTTTTTTTTTTTAACTCCACAACTAATACGCCATGTTTTCTTATGTCTTCGTTTAAATGACACCGGGGAATTTAAGAACATTATGAAAGTTATCACTCTGTACCTTTTATATTACACTCGTGAAAGGTGTCCATGAATCGATTTTACAACCCATGTTACATTACGATGTAGCTAATATTGTTTACAACGGATCGATGTAGGTCTCGATGATATACCGAGTTTATCATTATTAAATTATTGAAATACACAGTGCTGTTCCCCGTCACAGGATTCCATTATTTTTCTAAGATGTTTGAAGTAAAGATTATTTTTCTAAAGTGTAGGTAGGTATATTATGTTGTTGCACTGCTGTAGTCTTACTCTGAAAAGTATCATTTAAAATGTGGGAGTTTTGAATTACTTCACTAAGATTGGGAAAAAATGTGAGTATTAAATTAGTTGTACTGAAAATTAATGGCTGTGTGACGAAACAATGAAAACAATTATATTTTAATTTTACAGACGATTCCGATGTGGAATATTTAATAAATAAAGTTTAAGTCTGTAATACTCAATTAATTTATAAATAATATGCAGAGCTATCATGACTTCAGAATGTACTTATTTTAATCTTCTAATCATAATTCAAGTTTATAAAAAGAATTTTAAAATAATCATTGTTTGTTTAACTATCATCCGATTTTAAATTACCAAAGTTTTGAATTAAATGATCTACTAAAATAAGTTGAAAACTTCATTCAAAAGTAGTAATAATGTTAAATTTTAATTTCAAAACCATTTTTATGATAGCAAATTAAATATATAATTGATTAAACACGTTGCTAACTATACTCATTGTATATAATCGAGGTAAGACATTAAATATAT